ACATATCTTATGTTCATGGGAACCACTTTGCAGATTTGGTGTTTGATTTGGTCTTGGCTCCTTGATCTCATCAGTTAATTTTCAAATGGTTGCAATAGCTAACTTTTGGACCTTTTATTTAATATGTCATCATGCCACGTCAATATATTTGTAGACATAAACAATAATAACAATAACAAATGTGACTAAGGTTATTTTTAAAAAAATAGTTTATGGTTCCAATCGACATACCATAATCAAATTTGGCCATAATTAATAGGTCACACTCGATAGAAAAATCAAATATGATGCCAACAATCATGTAACATTTAATTATAACTCTTTTTTTAAAAAAAAAAAAAAATTTATGAATCCTATACAATTAAATTATAACATTTGATTATCAAACTTATAAATACCGTTACTTTTGTAAGTGTGTAGCAGAACATTATCCTAACTTTTTTAAGTGGCAAATTAGACCTAATATATGTGTGAGAGACAAAGAGTGACAGAGAGAGATTCTAAAAATAAAAATAAAAAATTGGGGTGTTGGTCGTGGGACTTGATAAACGTCATCATAATCGTCATTATCAACAATTTGAGTTAATCATCAGACATGTGATAGAGAAAGCCAAAAGCCAGGAATCAGGATTAACTTATTGAGATTAAAAAAAAAAAAAAAATGACCTTTGCTAAGCCTGTGATTAAGAAATTATCCTAAAACAATAAAGAATTTGAATTTTAAATATTATTATTCGCACTCTCAAAAATCTCAAAAAATTATATTATATTATATATATATCATAACTTTCCGTCATTGACTTTAAAATATTAATTTCTCTGTTGATTATAATCACTAGTTTATAACGAATACTATTTTGAGGACATAATTAAATGTCACTTTGATTATAAACCAAGTCAGTATAAATTATACCATACAATTAATCACTTTAAAATATAACCAAACATTTGATAATATGCTAGTCACATCCACTACTAAATGACACCCATAATCAAACATTATAAAATTTCATAATTTATATCAATTTTTACCGTAATATATGTTATATATATTATTATGGCTCATTTTAGAAAGTGGGTTAAAAGTCACTTCTCAACTTTTAACCTACTTTCACTCTCACAAAAAAGTCAAACAAAATTAAGGGTTAATTACACTAATAGTCCCTATAGTTTGGGACTTGTGTCACTTTGGTTCCCGACTTTTCAATCGTGACACATTTGACCCTGAATTTTGAATTTTGTTCCAAATAAGGACAATTGAAAATATCATTAGATTTTTCAAGGGTAAAATCGTCAATTTAATAAAATATAAACTAATTTGACAAAAATAAATGTCAAACAAATATTTTTTAATTTTAAAAAATTATTTCTATCTATTAAAAATAAAATTATGTAAAATTGATAAATCTTTTAGACATTTATTTTTTTTTACCAAATTAATTTTTATTATGTATTTAAATGATGATCATGTAAAATTAATTTTAAAAAATTAATCATGTAATTTTTATTAATTTTACATAATTTTATCATTGGTGGATAAAAATAATTTTAAAAAAATTAAAAATATTTTTTTGACATTTATTTTTGTCAAATTAGTTTATATTTTATCAAATTGACGATTTTACTAGAAATAATTTTTTAAAATTAAAAAATATTTGTTTGACATTTATTTTTGTCAAATTAGTTTATATTTTATCAAATTAACAATTTTACCCTTGAAAAATCTAATTAAATATTCAATTATCCTTATTTAGAACAAGATTCAAAATTTAAGATTAAATATGTCACAATTAAAAAATTAGAGACCAAAATAATATAAACCTCAAACTATAAAAACTATTTATGTAATTTATCCAAAAATTAAAAAATAATTTTTAACCACCTTCTCAATACATCCTTAAATCACCCTTCAACTTTTTCACAGAACAAAATCTCAAGGCAGCACTTTACTTCTATATTTATGTTGTGGCCCCACTAACACCTTCACTAGTGTGCAGAAAAGATAATAAAAGATAAAAGAAAAATTTTTTTGGATAGTTATTGCAATTATTGAATGAAGTTTTCTTAAGCGTGCCTTGTATATGGTATGTAAGGCATTTACAATCTTACATTTACAATTTTATGTCTTACATTTACGACATTTTTATATATTTACACCTTACATATGACCTAAACATTACCCTTATTGAATAGAAGGAAAGATTATGCTTAGGGGACTTGTTATACCCTAATAGGCCAAATGGTCTGCTCACTTTCAAGAAAACTCAAAAGGTCGACACCTACAAAAATATCAGCACTGGTTAGTGGTCCAAAAATATGTGGTTCGAATGATTCGAAACACATAAAACGACGTCATTTTAGGTGTAAAACGACGTCGCTTTGCCATTTTGGAGCCATTCGAGCCACATATTTTTGGGCCACCAAACATTATTCTAAAAATATATAAATATAAGGTTAATCTCTCATTTAATTCCTCCAAAATTCGGTCTAATTTTCAATTTAATCCATAAACTTTTAATTTTTCTATTTAAGTCATTTAACTTTTTTTTTAAATTCAATAATATAATTCTTAAACTTTTAATTTAGAAAAAATATTTAAAATTTAAAATGTGTGGATCAAATGTATCATTGGTGCAATTTACATGTCACTATAATTAAATATACACCATATTCAAATTTTGAGTACTTGCTGTATTATTTTTTTAAGTACATGGCATTTTTGTATAAAAAAAAGATAGTGGGCAATTGTTCTAAGTCACCATACATGTCAGCCAATTGTGTCATATTTTTTTTTTTCAATTTTTTTATTATTATAAATTAGTAAAAAGTGAGATAAATGATTATAAATTTATGGAGATATTAGCACGTGAGTAACAGTAATATCCCAGGCCACACTATTTTCAGGTCGAAGAACATCTTTAAGGGTGATAATTATTTTAGCATTATCGAAATTATAGTTTGATATGTTACAGTAATAAAATGTCAAATTATGGCAATGATGTCACGATGATGACATATCATTTTAGCACAATGCGAATCAACTTTTTCTTTTTCTTAGAGAAAATTTCATTTTCCTTCCTAAATTATATCTCTCTAATCAATTTCACACCCGAACTTTTGATATTGCCAATTTATCCTCTCATCTATTTAAATCATGATTAATTTACCCACTGTTGTCACATTTAACCAGAAAAAGTTAAGAAAAAAATTACAATTTGGCCCATAATTTTGAATTATAGATTCAAATTCACTATTTTTATTCTCCTCTCTCACCCAAACTATCCTCTCTCCTCTATCAACCAAAAAACCATCACCACCACACCCACCATCAGTTATTACTGCCATTATCACCACTGCCACCGCCACGGCCACCGCCACGGCCACCACACACTCTAGATTCATCATCCTCTTACCCACAAACCATCACCAAATTTCATCACAACCAACATGAAGTGTTCAGGATCCAAAAACCTTCAAACCTAGATTCAAAAAATAGCTTTGTTAAAGCATAATCTGCAACTTTTCACTGATGCACCTCCACGAAATCCACACGTTGTATGGCTTAAGCCATTACTCAAATTTTACAAAGCAATTTCAATATCAGGAGGTGTCACTTTTAGAAAATGGCTCTACCAAGTCAAATAATTGGGTTTTTGTTCTTTGTTATAAACCAAAATGAAAATTTGCTATCTATATATGTAGAAAAAAAAATTTGTTCAAGAATATATATATATATATATATTAATTAAATAGATTTGAAAATTAATTGAATTGAATTAGTTTGTTTGGAATTATTAAATCTAAATTAGTGAGTTTATGTGTGATTGTTTGTGAATCGAAGTATATCTTCTTTTCAATGAACTTTCTTAGTTTTTAGGATGATTGGTGGTGGTGGGTGCGGTACATTGATGTAGCAATGGTGATTGTGGTTGTGGTCGTGATTGTGATGGGTGTTTAGTTGATAGAGGAGATAAAGGTGGTTTAGGTGAGAGAGGATAAGAAGTAAATTTGGATCTATATTAAAATTTAGGGCGAAAATATATTTTTATGTAACTTTTTTCGTTTAAATGTGATGGTAGAGGACAAATTGATCACGATTTAAATAGTGAGGGGGTAAATTGACAATATCAAAAGATAGGATATAAAATTGATTAGAGAGGTATAGTTTGGGAGGGGGCAAAATGATATTTTCTCTTTTTTTAGGTGGTGTTTGGGTTTAATGTTTTGAGTGATTTTTTTGTTAATTGTTTCATCTTTTGTGATGTTTTTAAAATATTTTTTGAAAAAAATTATATATTTATGTTCTACACAACTAAACAAATAAAAAAAAATTTGAAAAAAAAAAATTCCATTCTTTTAATTAACCTACCATTCACATGCCATTTGTGATATTGACTGATAGTTTGTTGTGGAGCAATAACTTTCAAAAATTCTCCTCCAAAAGTGAAAATGCGATTGTTTGTTGCTAATAATTAAGTTTTGAGTGATGTGAATTCAAACTCTATAAATTGTCACATTTTCACTGGTGGTGGATATTTTCTCTCTTTGTTTTTGCTGGTAGGTCTTCCATATTTCTTGTGTGAAAAAGACTGCAAATGAACTGAAAAAATGTTGAGAGAGTGAGTGAAATGGTAAATCTATTTATAGTTTTTGAAATGTTACCGTTGGAAAATTGAAAATAAATCTGTTGCATACAGTCGTTGAACACTGTACACATGTTTTCCATCTTATAGAAAAACAAAGAGAGCCGTTGTATAAGTACTATGTCTCTAATCAATGACTCTATTCAACCCATCTATTGTATACATGTATCTATCTGTCTATTTATCTTTTGTAACCAACGACTTCACGATCCAAACCCGTCCTTATAAGTTTAGCATCGTGATCGATCAGTAATTCATAAATTACTAAAAGCCTCTTAAACAGAAATCAAATTATTAGGGGCTAGCGGGAACAAATAACAAATATACAATATCTATTGAGCTGTGTAGACATATATGAGACAGAAAAATTTTAAACTTTAATTATATATATATCATACATTACCCTTACGTCATTACATTTCTACAGATAAGACAAGAAGGAAACTTAGCTCTATTTACAAAATAAACAAAACAAGAAAACAAAAACTTAAACTTTAATCACATATCCATGACCACTTGACATATTCGAAACCTCCCCGGGAGGCACATAGGTTGGCTAACAAAAACAGAATCCAGGCAAAAGCTCTAGGCCTGGTCACGCGCTTGATCACCTATAGATGTAAATAATACAGTGAGCTGGAACCCAGTGAATAAGAACAGAGTAAAAGTTTTGATAAATGATGTCCATAACATATTTAAAAATCATAATTCAAATCAGAAACAGATTCATATATATATATATATATATATATATTCAGATTTATAAATAGTCATACGTGGTATATCCATTAGCTCTAACACATCAGATTGGCTATAAAGACCCATATTCATATGAGATGGTCATAAAGACCCACATGCAAATCATATAGTTGATTATGCATAATCAGTTCCATGAATGGAATCCACTTGAACTCCTGGTACCAAGTAACATATCACATATTATATGATACTAAGGATGCCATAATACATTTCAGAAATACGACAATCATTCATTCATACAGAAAATATCATTTTAGAAAACAGAACTTATCATATCATTTCATTAAGAAAATACTTATAGTCAAACATACTTTTACAGAGTTGTTATTCACAAATAGCTCCAGAAGTAGAACAGACAAATCAGACAGATGGTAGTGCGTGACCTACACAAACATGTAACATATACATATTGGAACACAATATCACTTATTTGATCAAACTTGACTTCTCTTGTCTTTTTCTGTCTAAATAATCTGAAGTTATACTATACTTATTCTTTCTTTATTCAAATGAATCGGGTTCTCATTTTTCATATTATTTCATTACTAAATTCTTCTTGTCTAAATAGACCGACTTCTTACTTGACTTTTTAATCAACTACTATTAAATCAATGACTTATTCTTAACTAACTAATTTGTGTTGATTGTTAGCTTAGTAGTCTTCATTAAGGCATAAATCATGTCTAGAATGCTTGGGAATATATGGGGATGAAAATATGACAAAGATCTAATTTTTCAAAATATGCTGAAATAGCTTGACCGCTCGAGCCACTACTTGCTCGTTCGAGCGGACTGCACAGTCTGCAAAAATACTAAGAGCTCGAAATGTTTGCTTGAGCCACCAATTGGTCACTCGAGCGGTCTGTAAATTTTCTGAGTTTTCAAAACTGAAGATTTAGCTCCCAAACTTAATTTCAAAACTTAGGTTCATGCTTGACTCAATTTAAATATTTGATTTCATTAACAAACAAGAACCCATGGCTAATTTAAAAAAATAAAACAAAACCTTCTTTGATTTGCCAAGATTAAAACCAAAATTTCATGAATAGTATGATATCAAAACCTTTCTTTCTTTTTCTTATAAAACATGAAATTAAAATTATAAAGCTATTAGAAAAATATTTGCATGTATGCAATTAAAATCAAGGCTAACTAACTTTTCTTGTTCCAAAATCAAATCATCAATTTAAATTGAATAAAACAAAACTGTTAAATTACATTGCATGTATGGATTAATAATCAAAATCAAAACTCATATTTTCATGAACTCATGGTTTTCAAAACTTTTCTTCAAAATTAAATGTATAATAAACTTGCATGGCTCAAATCCTTTCAAAACTCATGATGCATACAAATATACATCTCATATATATCAAGGTTTCTAAACCCAAGCTCGATTTGAAGAATTCTTACAATTATTTTCATATTTATTTAACCTTAACCATATTCATGAATTAATTCACTAATTTCTCCAAATTACATGCATGTAAAAATGAGACTCAAATTCATGCAAGATATTCAAAATCAAACCCAAAATAATTAATTTCTAAATTTATTTCCATAACCATGAACATCCTTGTAACCCATTTCATATTGAAAACCTAATTTCTTTCTAATCCAAGAATAAAATCTCAAATCCTTCTTAATCTGAAGTATTATAAGAAGATACTACAAAATCAAATCGAAAATAATTAATTTCTAAATCAATTTCCAAAACCATGATCCTAGCTCAATTTCGTTCATTTTCTTCTTAATTCCTTCCAATTACAAGATATTGATTCCAAATTCATCTTTAATTTCAAATGTAATATAATAATTCTATGGCTTCGCTTGGGAAGAAAGGTTGGGCCCTCAAACATTACTCATAATTAATTTCTAAATCAATTTCCAAAACCATGATCCTAGCTCAATTTCGTTCATTTTCTTCTTAATTCCTTCCAATTACAAGATATTGATTCCAAATTCATCTTTAATTTCAAATGTAATATAATAATTCTATGGCTTCGCTTGGGAAGAAAGGTTGGGTTGGGTTTGAAGTTATTTTAGTCATAAAAAGACAAAATAGACTTTTTAGGCCAATAAGACAAAACATCACATCTAACCCATAATCATTACATTCTTTCTCTCACAAAAAGTCTAAAAAATCAAAAATCCCTTCCCAAATGAGCTCATGAAAATACTCAATAAACCTACAAAATGAATGGTTCAAATCATAAAAATAAACTTATAATATACCTCAAATTGAGGTACAACAATAACTGCTGTGCTAAAGGCATAACAGTGACCCTTAATCCTTTTAGTTTCGGACTAAAATAGTTAAAAAGTTAAAAAATCAAAAAATCAAAAAGTTAACACACTTCCTAAACAAACCTTATACAAATTGAACATAAATTCCATACAATAAGCTTTAATTTTAGAAACTAAAGATGATTACCTTCTTCACTTCTTCTTTTTCAAAATTTGACCAGTTTTGAACTTTGTCTCTCTAGGAACTCTCTCATTGTCTCTCTCGGTTTTCTCTCTTTTTTTTCTTCTTACGGCTCAATCTCTCTCCCTCGTAAAGAATGAATAGGCTCTAGCATAATGTATATATAATGACTACACACAAATACACAAAGACTTCTCTGAACACCCATTGAATTTCTCAGCACAATCACACCCACACCCACACCCATATCCACATACACTCTCAAATTCTAAATCATTCTACAATTTGATTTATGATTAAGATTAATTTAATTAAGTAACATTTAGTCTTAATAAATTTTGATTAACATATAATCAAATTAATCATAACTAATCACAAATCCCACTTAATTTAATTAGTCTAATTTGATTTTTTTTAGAACCCAATTAATTATATTTAATTTTATTATTCTGAATCAATTTTTAATAATTTTTTTCAAAAAGTTTCAAATATCAAATTAAACTTATTGTCATCATCAATTTTGGCTTTTCAAATATTTAAGACCTTCAATTTCAGATCAAACTCAAAATCTCCGTCATTAAATTATATATTTAATTGAACACCTCATAAATAAAGTTAATTCATAATAATCTTAAGTATCAATCTCTATAACTTAATTAACTCCAATTCGGATTCACTTAATAAAATTTCAATTTTACTAAACTGTATTGAATATTTAATTAAACTTACATACAGTTTGATACTCGAAATTAAAATAATTTAATTCACTAATTATACTCTCTTGACTCATTTAGGTTTTTAATTTCTAATTTCAAAATAAATCTCCAATAAAATCATATATGAATTAGTCTTAATAATTTCATAAATTCCAGATTAAATTATAATAAAAGGCAATTAAAATTTAAATCTCTTTAATTAATTAAATGTTAATTATTATACGTGGTGGGATCATCACACTCATCCTCTCCCTTCACATATTCTCCATCTCTACTCTCTCTCTCCACCATGTATGCTCTCTCTCTCCACTTGATTGACTCTTTGAAATCGTGAAACTCGAAACTCTTGAAATATGAAACCATTCAAATCATCTTTTTCAAATTACGAATTTGATGAAGAAATCCATGAAATCCATTTTATCAATCTAAAAACCTTAAACAACACACAAAGAAGAAAAAGAAGACGAACTAAACGAAATTAAGTAAAGAAGAAGAAGACGAACTAGACGAAATTAAGTAAAGAAGATGAAGAAACTTCAAACCCCTTTCTAGGTATTTATTTTTGTGAAAACTAATTTCTAAAATTGCTTGACATTAGTTGAGATTATTCATAGTTTGTTTGAGATTGCTTGAACTTTGAAAGCAATTGCTTAATTATTGTTGCGGTTGTGATTATTGTCTATCTAATTATTATTGTAGTTGTTTTGAAACAAAATATTTTCTATTTGGAAAAATTTTTGCTAAGAAAGAATGAGGGAGGGAAAGAAGAAAAACAGTTAGGATGGTGATCTGGAATAAAATATTTTCATTATTAGTATATGTTTTAGAGGCATCCCAACAATGCACATTTGAACCCTGCTAAATATCTCCAGTGGGGGTCGCATCCCCAGTGAGGTAGCGTGCCCCAACTGGCTGACAACCAAAAACAAAAAAAAAAAAAAAACAAGTAGTTTTTTTTCGCCCAATCACAAGCCTTCACCTCACTGGGGTCGACCCCTAGTGGGGGTATAAAGCATTTTTGATGCACATTTTATGTATCAGATGAAATAAAATATTTCTCTCAATTGTTTTCATAATTAATTTTTTTAATTTCATAAATTATAAATAAAAATTATACTAAACACGCTGTTACAAATTCATATAATAATAATTATAAATTATTACAGCAAAAAGAACCATGGTGTGACGTTGATAATAAAATTGACATGGGGGATGCAATTATTTAATTTGTCATTTTATTGCTTTGTGATTATCCCATTCACAATTATTTGAAATTTCACTCCGTGATCGTTTTCTGTTTATAGAATTAAGCGAACCCCTTTTTTTTTTAATTTTTTGTCACATGAATTACACATGCCCACTTTGAAGCCACGACCCCACACGAGTCAGTGGGGGGCTTGTGCAAGAACTTACAGGTCCCCACCACCTGCCACCGCATGGACCCCACCCACCACCCTCATCACCATCAACCCAGCTAATACAGTACCTGATTCTCTCCCCCTCTCTCTCTCTCTCTCTCTCTCTCTACGTACTCTCCTCTCTCCCTCTAAAGCCTCCAAAGACAGCAGTCAACCATAAATGGACATTTCGTTTATAAAAAAAAAACATAAAAGGACACAGAAAAAAAAGAAAAACAAATCATTATTTTTTTGAATATTCAATGCGTTTGGTTTAAATTTTTTGAATTAAATTTTTTAAAAATTAAATTATTTATTTTTCATATTATTTATTTTTAGTGAATATTTTTAAAATTTTAAGTATTTACAAATCATTATTTTTTGAATATTCAATGCGTATGGTTTAAATTTTTTGAATTAAATTTTTTAAAAATTAAATTATTTATTTTTCATATTATTTATTTTTAGTGAATATTTTTAAAATTTTAAGTATTTTTTTTTTTACTTTTTTAGATACATCTTACTTAGATGTATCTAAAAAGTAAAATATTTATGAAAAATATTTTTAAAAATTAATAAATATACAAAAATATAAAAAAATGTACTGAATTTTTATTTTTATTTTTTGTATTTTTGGTATTTAGTAAATTTTTTAAAGTTTTTTTTTATAAAAATTATACTTTTTAAGTGTATTTATGTTATGTGTGTCTAAAAATTAAAAAAATTGCTTAAAATATTAAAAAAATTCAGTAACAACAAAAAATACGAAAACCAAGAAAGTAAAAATTTTCTGAAAAGTGTTTTTAAATAAACTCAAACCAAGTAAAGTGATTATTTTTAAGAAAAGTTATAAGATGAAGAGAAAATTATTAAAAAGTCTAAGGTAAGAAGGGTATAAGGTATTAGTTTCAGTAGATATTTTTTTATTGGTGACAGATCCATCTTTTATGAAATAGTCTGGTGAAAAGTCATTTCGTTGATTTTGGAGGACATTTTGTTTCTTACTTTACCTCTTAATTTATCTATTGACTATCTATTTAAATTTATATTTATCTGTTCATATTTATATCTACCTGTTCAATATTTTTCTATCTGCTGAATTTTTTTCTATCTATTTAAAATTTTCCCTTTTCAGTTCAAATATCTATCTAAATTCTATCTCTTTTCAAAATTTTCCCTAAATCTATTCAATTATTTTTTGAGTTTTGGTTCAATTTTATCCTTTATCTATTCAAATATCTGTCTAAATTCTATCTATCTATTCAATTTTTTTTCTATCTACTCATTTTTTCTCTAAATTCTATATATTTGTTAAAATTTCTATATGCTAAAATTATCTGTCAGATTATAATTTTTTTTGAACTTATGTGTTCAACAACGACACCACCATCAACAAAAACTCCTAGATTATCAACTATCTGTTAAAACCGATTTGTTTGTGACAATTTTTTTTCTTTTATTTTTATTTTTTATATATTGCAATCATCAACAAAAACAACAACAATAACAACAACAAAGAATAAATAGAAATGTTTCTCTCTATTTATCTATTTATCTGTTCAAAGCAAATAAACACACACATGGAGAGATAATGACACATAACCAAAAAAAAAAAAAAAACCAAATTTCTTACCAGATAACCATACATACACTCTAGATTTGTACAGATAACCACACATACAACCAAAAAAATAAAAATAAAATTGTTTTGCAGATACAAGAGACAGAAGGAGAGAAGATCATCATCTTTGTTACAATAGTAGAGAGAGAGAGAGAGAGAGAGAGAGAGAGAGAGAGAGAAAATAATATGTATTGTATTCAATGAATTAATCATATACAATAGAAGGCTTGTATATATAAGTTGAAAAAGAGTATCTTATAAGAAACCTAATTATGAGAAAGAGTATTCTATAAGAAACTTAACTCTAACAATACAAATATATCTAAGAAATCAATACCTAATATATCTAGGAATATATACCATATATACATTAACATTCTCCCTCAAACTCGAGGAGGATAAACGTCTTGAGTTTGGAGAGAGAAACTAAAACATGAAATAAAACTAAATACTAATATAAAAGGCAAATAGATTGTAAAGTCTGAACGGGAGCGTAAGGGCGCTTGAGATAGATTAGAAGTCGGAACTAATGTAGGGAGACAATTTATGGTTGTGTCGGACCGTTGTAGGAACTAACCGAAACTAATGTCTGGACAGTTTAAGGCCATGTTAGACCGTTGTAGGAACTGGCCGGAATTAATGTCGGAATAGTTTACAGAGTCATGTTGGATCATTGTAGAGACTGGATGTTGAACCAGTAAGCATGACACACACATAACTTTTGACGTAGTGCTGAATAATAATGGCAACATATGATTGAGTGCACCAGGAGGCAACTTTGGTGGTGCGCCAATGGGCGGCTTGGGTTGTACACTAGATAGGGCAGCTTGGATTGTGCGCCAGATGAAGCAGCTTGGCTGGTGCGCCAAGAGGCAATTTGGGTGGTGCACCACAGGAGCAGCTTGAGTTGTGTGCCACATGGGACGACTTAGGCGGTTTGCATAGTGTATAACCATATTTACCATGATATGGGTATAATACCCCCCTCAAACTCAAATAAGTTTGAAAATAGAAACCTATTTGAGGTTGAAGCAGAGGGAAAAATATAGTGGAATAGAAGCACACAAAAAAAAAAAAAAAAGAATTGCGGGTAAAAAAAATTATGATAGAGATATTTGGGGTAAAATAAACCAACAGATAGAGGAAGAGATCACAACGAAGCGATACTGACAGGAATATATGATAGCAGAATAGGTTAAGGTCCGGTGGGCGACCAAGGTAAGGCTGTCGCCCGCCAGTGAAGCAAAATTACTAGATACTTAACCTAACTTTGATTCTATATTATAATAGTAGAGAGAGAGAGAGAGAGAGAGAGAGAGAGAGAGAGAGAGAGAGGAAAAAATATGTATTGTATTCAATGAATTAATCCTATACAATAGAATGTTTATA